GGGGTACTCGTGTACTCCTGTCCTCCTTCTCTTCACCCCGGGGTACTCGTGTACTCCTGTCGTCCTTCTCTTCACCCCAGGACACATACTGTTTTTCAGGCGCCATGAGTTCCACACATTCTGCAGGGCTTGGTAAATGGGGCTCTGTGGGGCCTTGCGGGGTGGGGGGCAGGCATGCAGCGAACTGAAGCAGCTCAGCTGCGGGGCCTCATGGCGGGCCTTTAGCGTGAGGCCATCCCTGCGGGAAGCTCCAGCCTCAGCTGTTCCTTGTCGTTGCAGGAATGTCAGACTTGCCAGGGGCTGCCAGTCTCTACTGCAGTGACTGGCCCAGCCGGGAGCACTGCGTGGTTTGCACAGGCTCCGTGCAGGCAGCAGACGTGCTCACTCACCTTGCGCCTACCTTCCGGTTGTCACGTCGCTTGCCTATTTGTTCCTGTGTCTGCACATTTCCTGATTTCCTGCAGCTCTGAATGCCAGCCGCCCCTTGGCTGAGAGGTGCCTCCTGCCCCTGGTAGCCTCTTTCTATCCAGGACTTCTCCACTGCCCCATCGCAGGGCTATGGTGTAGGGCTGACCCTGCACTTGTACCAGTCTTCTTGGGTCTGTTTGCTCGTGTCGGCCTCCACCCTCGAACTCCAGGCCCTGTGCTCTGTCCAGCAGAGCTCTGCATACAGAAGGCTTGGGTACACGCATGCTAAGTGACCACACGTGGCCAAGACTAGGTGCTACGCTGGTGTAGCTTTAGTGTAGCTGGTTGCTAGTTTATTCACAATAGTCTCTGGCCCTTTGTCATGTGCAGATGAAAAATAGTTGTATTTATTTATCTCTGCAGGTGATGTGTGGTGTGCCTGTGGACTAGGAGGCTGCCTGTAATAACTCTGTGGTTCTCCGGAAGTCAGGGGTTAAATGCTACTGGATTCTCTTTTTTTTCTGAGTGTGTCTAAGGACTCAAGGACACTCAGAACCCAATGGGGAGATGACAGACCACAAGATGCAGTTATTCTGTGCTGCTCCTTGGTGCCTGTCTTGTGGAGAAATGTTCGCCTTGTCCTGGGAGGGCTGATCTTTGGTTCATCCGTGGGTCTCCAGGGCTAGGGTGGGGCTTGTGGTTCCTGCTCAGCATGTACACCAGGGTCCGAGATTGAGGATGATAAGTGAGTTAGGGATTGGCTGTTCTCTGTCATGAGTTTCATTTTGACTTTGTGGGGTATAGACCTAAGTGTTTTACCTTTAACTTGGAGAAGCTCTGTGTGGTATAGCCAGACATATCAGCGCCAGGGACCAGGTGACAGTGGTTGGGCTCTGCTTCCCGCCCACTGTGCCTGGGGCAATTGCTTCTCTTCTCTCAGTCCCCAGTTTACTCAGCTGGGGGTTGGGGAGATGACAGACCTGTTTCTTTTTTCTTTTTTTTTGACATTGGTCATAGCAATGTTTTATTGGATAGGATACCAAAAATCTAAGTAGCCTATGAATTAGCAAAGCTCCATTTTAAAAAAAAAATTTTTTATTGAGAAACCAATAGCAATGAGACAGTTTCAAAACTGATTAGTAGGACAGTTTCAATAATTAATACATTGTACACTGTTATCTTCTTAGTGGTTATTCACAGTAGAAGACGCAAACATCATATCCTGTCCACAAACACTATTAGAACAAATCTCTCTATTCATTGAATTAAGAGAAAATAGCTGTATATCTATCCTATTTTGAATATACAGATACAAAATGATCTGTCATTGGTATCCTCTTTTTTTTTTTTTGTTTAGTTTTGTCAGAGAAGGATATTCCATTGCCATTTACATATTGTAGGTGTGTGAATTCAGCAAAATATTCCAATATAGTCCAGTTCTGACAAATGACAGATTGCTGGAGGAAGGGCGTTGTAAACAACATGATCTCCTATAAAAGAAAGAATGTTGCTGAAAATGCTTATTGTTTGGTAACCAGTTTGGGTTCCTTTTGGGTAAAACATTCTTGAAATTTTTTTTGGCTGGCTCAGGCTGCCTTAAAGTTAGGCATGTGGAGCTGGGGATCCAACGGCGGTCCCCTGTGCCTGACTGGGTTTGCCCAAGCAGGTGCTTAAATAACTGAGCTAACCCCCAGTCCCCCCTTGGAAAAAATATTAATTTGATAGAGTTTCACTGACACAGAAATGTTATGCTTTGTTACATTTCCGTTTTATGTATTGTTTGGTAAGAAGAAATTCCCTGAGGTCATGGCCTGCTCCATCCGGCCCTTTCTGTGGATCCAGAAAGGGGATCACTGTGGGGTTTCCAGTACCTTGGGGATTGCTCCCTCATCCCAGCAAAGCTTCAGGCCTTTTGGCTTTTTTGTGTCTTCTCTTTCTGGAAGAGGAGTATTGTTATGAGGAGAAGGAGAAAAATGGGCTCAGGAGAGTGAGGGAGTGTGAGACTCAGATGGAGCGCGTGTTTGCTGGCCAGGGGAGACTCAGTAGAGAAGGAGGTGTTGATGCTGAGAATGGATGGAGGAGACCCGAGTGGCTCTGGCGAGTGGGTGGCAGGCTTGGGTTCTGAACACACAGTGGCCTTCTGCAAGGCCTCTTGGAGCAGTCTGCCTGGGCATAAGCAGAGAATTGGAAGGTGACAACCGCACCAATTCAGTGTTGCTTCAGTTTTTATCGCCATGAGCCAGCCATTGTGGGCACTGTCCATGATGGAAGGACCCTACTCTGGGCACAACACTGGCCACCTACACTTGCCTTTGTGGTGCCACTGTGTGTGGGGGCACTCGCATCAGCAGGGGCAGGAAGCAGGTAGATGGTAGAGACTGCCTGCTGGGGAGCAGGACGCCCAGACAGCTGCTGCGGGTGGGCAGGAGGAGGGGTGGAGGGCCCTGGCACAGGCAGAGTGCTGAAGGGGGAGGTGTCTGTGTAGCCTGGATAAGGAGCAAAGCAGATGTCCTGTGGGACTGCCACACGTGGTGCGAGTCCCTGAGGGCACAGGAGAGGGTCAGCGGGAGCCAGGCAGCATGGTGTAGGTTTCTGGCAACTGTGTGGTCTGTGGGCACAGCCAAGGTGACCAAGATGGGCTGGACCAGCTGCAATTCCTGCTGCTGAAGAGTCTCGTAACCCACTCTTTTTGTTCAACTCTGCTGACGTAGAGATCCCTCCAGCTTCACCAGGGCCTCCCAGCTTTGTGGCATTTAGGGACAGGAGTTGGGGATTTAACCTCCGTCTGTCTGAGTTCAAAGCCACCATCGTTTCCCTCATACCAATTCATCTTTTCAGTGTAAATGTAAAAATAACAACCAAAGACCTTGGCTTTTTGGGATCCTATATGCCTATAATTATTTCATTAGACTCAAAAATAAATGTTTTTGTTCTTATTATGTCTTCCTGCATAGTACACTGGAAGGAACATAGTGAACTATTAGTAAATTTTGTGAAGTGATAATGCTTAAATAGGAATTAAGTGGCTTAAAAAAGGTAACAGGTCCCTGTTTTTGTGTTATTTATAGTTACTGTGTCATTAAAAGGTGCTTTGGCTCTTGAGAAATGCTGCTTTGGTCATTGTTTCCATGCACCTGATTTGCCTGAGTCTAGCTGGGTACGTGACTGCTGTTAGAGTGGCTCGCGGCATGAGTGCAGGATTTAAGTCAAGTTCCAGGTTCACATTGCACTTGGTTGTGCTCTGCTAGGGTCTGAGCTTGGGAGTAGATTGGGTTGGAGAGAGGCCTGAGCTAGGCACTCACTGTCCAGAAGGACAGAGACTTTGCAACACCGAAGAAAGAATTATCAGGCACTCACGGTCACCTGAGGCATCCCCAAGGGAGGCACAGTCTGCTAGAGGCTGGCAGTTGTGCTGGGAATAATCACTGTTGATGTAAAAGTGGAACAAAAAAAAAATTTGTTTTTTTCTTTTCTTACAGAAAACACGGCCATCTTCATGTGTAAATGTTGTAATCTTTTTTCGCCAAACCAGTCGGAACTACTCTCTCATGTCACTGAGAAGCACAGGGATGAAGGGGTTAATGCGGATGACATCATCATTCCCCTGAGGCCACTGAGTACTCCTGAACCCCCCAACGCCAGCAAGACTGGAGATGGTAAGGGCGCTGGCACCCTGGGCTGGGGCTGATGCCTGTACATTCTCAAATGCTGTGACATCAGCTCTCTGTTTTGCAGGCAAACTGAAGTCACAAGAGTTGTGCATTTATAGATTTCTGTATGTCAGACTGTGTGTGTGAACTCCCCATCCCACGCCTACTGTAGATACTCCTACAATAACTGGCCGGCAAGTAAATGAATGCAGGTAGAAACAGCCAGTAACCTAGAAAAGTGAACTTGTCGTCAGACGAGTGTGGGGCGAACCTAACTCAGGCATCTGTCAGACGAAATACTGAAGCGAATGATATCCCTCTCCAAACCTCACTGGCTTCTCTGAAAAATGAAGACAAATATGCAGATTAAGTCGGAGAATATAAATATAATAGCTAGGATGAGACAAGAAGACAATAAAGGGAGGCTATTGTCATTTATAATCAATAAATTAGTATATGTAATCTTAGAAGGAACCAATCTGATGCTGCAAATGTGGAACAGAGATTCAAATGGCAAAGTTTGATTCCCATAGAATCCTTTGTGCTGACAGTTAGTGTGCACGACAGAGCTTGTCCGTGAGCCATATCTGGAGTCTGCAGTGTCCAGACATCTCCCTGAATGGCATCTGATGCAGCAGGCATGTGCATAGAGAAGCCCTCTACACACTGTAATTAGGTCCCCACAGACTACAGAGATCATATATGTGTATATACAGAGAGTGGCGCAGGTGCAAACAAGTTTAAAAAACACTTCCCCAATCTATTTTATATGATGAGGGATAACAGTCAGTCTCCTGTGCAGAAACCCAGGATGTGGCAGTAAGTGTCCCATTGCAGGATTCATTAGCCACACTAATAACAGTTGCTTTTTCTTGGAAACATCCAGATTGGCATTTCTAAACAGGCTGGCTTATTGATCATCTGTCGGACACTGTTAACAAGGAGAGACTCCAGACAAAAAAGTATTTGGTTAATAAGCCCCTCTAGCCCATTCCCAGAGTGCTCCAGAAATATATCTGACAGAATTAAATTGTTTAGAAGCTGGGAAATTCTGCTAGTTACTGGTAGTGGCATAAAATGAGACACTAAGAAAATCTGGCACTTGAAACTAGTAATGGCCAATAAGGAGGATTAATTAGTATCTGTACCATAATCTCCATCACCTAGTGTTGATGGCATGCTTTAGCCCTGATAGACCTTGTGAGGAGATCTATTTCCTACTGAATTGTCTTGATACTCTTCTCAAAAACCAGTTGACAAATATATACGTGTTTAATTCTGGACTCTGTTTTATTCTGTTGAACTATGTTTCTCCTTATGCCAGTGCCGAATTGTTTAGATAGTCATAACTTTATACTAAGCTTTAAAACATGTGTGTGGAGGTTTGTGAGACTTTCAAATTTGTTCTTTGTCAGAATTGTTTTGGCTTTTGATGATTGCTTGTAATTTCATAAAAATTCTAGGATCAAGTTATCTGTTTCTTCAAGAAAAGATACCTGGAAACTTAAAAATGTTTCTTTTAGATCTGTGGCTCAGTTTGGGTACTACAGCCATCTTAACAATATTAAATCTTCCAATTCATGCTTTTAAATTTTGGGGTCTTTGCATTTCTTTCAACATTGTTTTGTGGATTTCAGGGTGCAAGTGTTATACCTCCTTGGTATAACTCTTGGTATACTTTTATTTGTATGTGTGGTGTTTTTACATGCTACTATGAGTTGAATTATTTTCTTAATTTCATTTCAGACTGTTCATTGATAATTTAGAAGTACAATTTTTATTTAATCTTGTATCCTTCAATCTTGCTGGATCTGTATATGATTGAACTTTTTATTAGTATATATTTGCAGTACTTAATGAATATATTCATTGTGGGTAATTGATACATGTGCATGGCATAGCTGAATTCTCTGTATGCCCACTTCCCCAACTCTTCCCTCCCTTCTCCCTCCATCTCATGGCCCCTTTTCCATTTGCAAAAGGCCTATCTCCTTGTTTCCTATTATGTATCTTTTGTATTGCTCTTTAATTTACTTATACTGTGGGCTTCTCATGTAAGAGAAATCATAGGCTAAACTTGTGAATCTTACTTATTTTACTTAACATTATGGATGCAGAGTGCATCCTTATTTTACAAATCATTCAAGTTTATTTTCCTTTATAGAAGAATGCTTAATTTTATATAAACACCACATTTTCTTTATCCATTCATCTGCTGATGGGTTATAGGCTATTCTAAGGCTTAGTTATTATGAATTGTGCTGCTATAGCTGGAGATGCGTAGATCACTGTCTTTGACTCTTTGGAAGGTACCTAAGAGGAAGGAGTAGGTAGGTTGGAGGGAATTTCTAGTTTTCATTTTGGGAGAATCTTCATATAGATTTCTATAGTGGTTTTACTACCTTACATTCCCACTGACACTGTAGAAGGATTCCCTTTTCCTTCATAGCTTCACCAGCATTTATTATTATATTATTTCTTATTGATTGCCGTTCTTTCTGAAAGAAGATGGGGAATCTTAAGGCTGTTTCAACTTACAATTCTTTTAATGGACATTGGGCATTCCTTTCATGTGTTAGCCATTTGTACTTCTATTGAGAAGTGTCTGGTCATTTCTGTTCCCATGTTTTGGTCGAGTCTTTTATTTCTGAGGGTCCACCATTTGAGTTCTCTATATATTCCAGATATTGTTCCGTTATCTGAGGTGTAACTGGCACTATTTATTTTTCCATTCTGTAGGTTGTCTCTTTAGTTTGTTGGTTGTTTCTTTTGCTGTGCGGAAAACTTTTTATTTGATATAATCCCATTTTTTAATGTTATTTCTTAAGCAATTTGAGGTCTACTCAGGAAGTCCTTTTCTATGCTTCTGAGTTCAAGAATTTTACCTGGTTTAACTTCTAAAAGACTGTTTCTATTTTAATACTTAGATATTTGATCTTTCTTGATTTTAGTTTAATATATAATGAGAGATATGGCTCTAACTTTAATCTTCTGCATGTTTGCATAGCCAGTTTTCCCAGCACCATTTGCTAAAGAGGCTCTTTCCTCCTGTATATGGTTTTGGTCACTTTGTCAAAGATAAAGTGTGCCTACGGGTGCTTCTGGTTGTTGTGTTCTGTTCCACTGATCCAGATGTCTTTGTGCCGCCACCATGCTGTTTTTTTTTTTTAATTTTTATTTTATTTTATTTATATGTGTGTGTGTGTGTGTGTGTGTGTGTGTGTGTCCAGCAAAAAAAGAGCAGTCCAAGCCCCAAAGCTCGTAAGAGTGAGGAAATTAAAGATCAGAACAGAAATCAACGCAACGGAGACTAAGAAAACAATGCAAAGATGGATGGATTGAAAAGTTGGTTCTTTGAAAGATTAAATAAAATTGACAAACACTTAGGAAACATTATCCAAAAAATGGGAAAGAAAAGACGCAAATCCTTGCCATTAGAAATGAAAAGGGTAAAATCATAAAAGATCCTGCAGAAATCCAGATCATTTATATCTTTAAGAAATAATATTCTAGTAAGATGGAAATTGTAGAAAAAATTGACAGATTCCTAGATATATATGAATTAAGTTGAATTGAGAAGATGTAAAAATACTAAAATTAACTAATATCAATCAATGAAATTAAAGATGCAATTAAAAAATTATGAACAATGAAAAAAACAGACTCCAGTGGATTAACTGCTGAATTCTGAATAAATTTAGAGAAGAACTAATACCAATATTGCTCAAATTCTTTAATGAAATTGAAAAGGAAGCAATACTCACAAATTCTTTCCTGGAATCATTACCCTGATAACAAAACCACAGAAGGATCCAACTAAGAAAGAGAATTACAGGCCAATCTCCCTAATGAACATAAATGCAAAAATACTCGATGCCAGAGATCAAACCCCTGCCTCTGTGCCCTGTCTAAGCAGGTGCTTTAGTCCACTGAGCTATCTGGCCGGCCTAGTATGTGGCCTATTTTGGAGGACATCCCTTATGCAGCTGAGAAGAATGTGTATTCTGATGTTGTGGGGTGTTACATTCTGAAAACATTTAAGGAATCTGTTTATTTGAAAGTTTGGTTCTACTCTAATATTACACTGTTCATATTTTTGTCTAGTTGTCTGTTTGTGACCCTGAGGAATTGAGATCTAATACAATTGTATTAGTCATTATTATTATTATTATTTTATGTGTTTAATACAAGGTCTCACTGTGCAGCTCAGAATTATAATGAGCCTCCTTTTTTCAGCCTTCCCAGCACTGGGGGTTGTAGGTGTGCGCCCCAATGCCCCATCTTGGTGGCTGGCTTAGTACGCCTGAGGGCAGGGCTGCCGTGGCCTGTGGTGCCAGGGACCCCAGTCCTTGTGCTTGCCAAAGCAGGCACATTTGTGATTCCTATTCTTCCTCTTCAGTTGTTTCCCTTATAAAGATGTGGTGACTTCTTTGTCTCTCCTCATCAGTCTTGTCTTGAAATCCACTCTGTCTGCAAGTAGAATAGCTACCCCTGCTTTTTTCTGGGTTCTTGTCACATGGAATATTGAAACCATGATCACACTCATAAAAACATGGTCTAACAATGAAGAAAAAGGAAACAAACAAGTGAAAGAAACAATGAGAGCGAGCGAGCGAGAGAGAGAGAGAGAGAGAGAGAGAGAGAGAGATCTTCAAGATATGTTTCTGCTGTCACTTGTAGACAACATGTGGAGACGCAGTCTAGATTTGTTGATTGATTTCAGTAAGCCAGCATTGGCTTTACAGCGATGGGGTAATAGATAATCTCAACCAGCCTACACCTTTATTTCTTAAGTTCAGGCTGGTTTCTGCCTATGAGGACAGAACCAGATCTGTTTGGCCTGCAGCAGTCTGTGTACCTTCTGTAGGCTTGAACTCCACTGGGAGCCATTATCTGAGGTACAAATATAATATAAGATGTATAAATGTAGAAGAAATTCCAAGATTGGCTTATAGTGGTCAACCACAGAGTAGGGTGAGGAAGCGTGCAGAGGGTTTCTGCACACT